TCCTATCCTTTGTAAATATTTAAAATATTCTCTTTCATGTGTTTATAGTATATTTGAAATAGAGGTGTACTTCAGAAATATTGCAGTTCTGTTCCATACCACCACATTAAAATGAATATTGCAATAAAGCAAGTCACATAATTTTTTTCATTTCCCAGTGCACATGAAAGTTTTATTCACACTACACTGTAGTCTGTAAAGTGTGCAACAGTATTATGTTGCTAAAAAATGTACATACCCTAATTTAAAAAAAAAAAACAACATTGCTAAAATGCTAACCATCATCTAAGCCTTTAGCAAGTCCTTATCCTTTTGCTGGTGGAGAGTCATGCCTCAATATTGATGGCTGCTAACTGATCAGAATGGTGTTTACTGAAGGTTGGGATGGCAGTGGTAATTCTAAAAAAAATTGTTTTTCTTTTTTTTAAATAATCTTTTTCCTCTATTCATATGTCAAGACGATTTTTAACATTCATTTTATTGGAACACTAATGCGTTGTTGGTGGAGTTGTGAAATGATCCAACCATTTTGGAGAGCAAATTGAAACTATGCCCAAAGGGCTATCAAAATGTGTATGCCCTTTGATCCAGCAATAGCACTTCTAGGGCTGTATCCCAAAGAGATCATAAAAATGGGAAAAAGACTCACATGTACAAAAAATATTTATAGCAGCTCTTTTTGTGGTGGCAAAGAATTTGAAATTGAGGGGATGCCCATCAATTGGGGAATGGCTGAACAAGTTGTGGTATATGAATGTAATGGAATACTATTTTCCTATAAGAAATGTTGAGCAAGCGGACTTCAGAAAAACCTGGAAAGACTTGTATGGACTGATGCTGAGTGAAGTAAGCAGAACCAGGAGAATGTTGTACACAGTAACAACCACATTATGCGTGACTAACGTTGATACATTTAGCCCTTCTCAGCAATGCAAAGATCTAAGACATCTCCAAAGGTCTCGTGATGGAAAATGCTATTCACATCCAAAGAAAGAACCATGGAGTTTGAATGCAGATCAAAGCATACTGTTAGCATTTTTATTCTTCTGTTTTGTTTCCTCTTTCTGGTGGTTCCTCTTATTGGTTTTAATTCTTCCTTAAAACATCACTAATGTGAAAATATGTTTAATAGGAATGTATATGTATAGCCTATATCAGACTGTGCCAACTTGGGGAGGGAGATAGGGAAGGAGGGAAAGAAAAATTTAAAATTCAAAAACTTATAGAAGTGATTGTTGATAAAATAAATTAATAAAAAATATTTTTAAAAATTCACTTTTTAAGAGTTGAGTTGTAAATTTTCCTTTCTCTCTAATGCCTGCTTCCTCCAGCCCCAGCCCTTAGCTGTCATCTGGGAAAGTAACTCCTGTAGAGAAAGAGCCAACCATCCTAACCAACTGCTGCACACAGGGCAAGCAAGCCCACCTTGGTGAAGCAGCAAAGTACCCTGAGAGAGGAGGCAGCATGTGTCAGGCAAGTCAAATGACCATCACTGCCTCAAGGAACCATCTCCCCTCAGATCGTGTTGGTGACAATCTAGGACCCTGAACCCAAAAGCTGTGTGAATAGTGGCATTAAATAATGACATTAAAGAAGAGGCATTAACATCTGCTTTGCTACTGCTGTACCTTAAGGACCAAGAGACACTCCCATTTAACCTGCAGCTGAAACCTTCCATATGTGTTTTCTCCTCCATTAGATTGTAAACTCCTTGAAAATGGGCTATCTTTTGTATTTACACTTACACACAGTGTTTTGCACATAGTAAGTACTTAATAAATGTTTCATTCATTCATTTATATGTTGACCTAAAATTCCTCATTTTGGCAAAGAAGCCAGAAGAGGGGCTTTGGGGGCCAAGTTTGACCATTATAATTTCATAGTATTCAGTTTTGATTGTTTTGTTTTTGCAGATCTTTCCATGTAGATTTTTGTAGCATATAATCTAATTAATTTTGCATCTGTTCATGTTTCCTATGTTTCTCTGCATTCATCACTTTCATCATTTTTTACACTACAGTAATATTCTATTACATTCATGTACCAGAAATTGTTTAGCAATTCCCTTATTGATGGGTATCTACTTTGTTTCCAGTTCTTCATTATAATAAAAAAAATGCTGCTGTAAGTGTATATATAGGTATCTATGAGGCCTTTCTTTTTACCATGGACCTCCTTAGTGTATGTGCCTAGCAGTAGAATCTACTTTGATCAGATGAGATAATAGTTGTGAAGTGCAGTGCCTGGCATATAGCAGGCAGTATATAAATGCTATCGTCATCATCATTAACAACACCACTTGGTCAAAGGTATAGACATTTTAGTCACTTTCTTCATATGATTCCAAATTGACTTTTTAAAAATGGTTGGATATGTTTACAACTCCACCAATGATGTATGAGTGTTGCAACCTCTCCAGTACTGATTATTACCTTTTTTGTTGTCTTTGCCAGTTTGCTGGGTGTGGCGTGAAACATTAGTTGTTTCCATTTGAATTTTTCATATTATTAATGATTTGGAGTATTCTTTCATATGACTGTTAATAGTTTGTAGTTTTTTTGAAGAATGTTCACAGTTTTTACAACTTTATTGGGGAATGACTTTTGTTCTAATATGTTTGTTAGTTGCCTATGTGTCTTGGATATTAGCAATATTTGGTCTAGTTTTTTCCTAGTTGACTGCTTCTCTTTTTATACTAGTTGCATTAATTTTGTTTGTGCAAAAGACTTTCAACTTCATATAAATGAAATTATTTTATCATGTATAATTGTTTCCATAACTTATCTGGTTAAGGATTTACCATCTATGCATAGCTGTGAAAGTGGTCTTCTAATCTGGTTCTCATCTAATATTTTATATTTTTAATATTCAGGTCATGTCCATTTTGATTTTCCCCCCACAATGACAATCTAAAGGACTGAACTCAATGTTTCATTCCATTTCAAGATTAAATGAACTTGAATTTATTTTGTTTTTGGGTTCTTCTAGAAGTTGTATGTTTTTGGAAGGACTCTGGTTTATGAAGTGAGCTATTTGGAAAATATTCCCTTAAAACTGTACATAAGGAGAAATGAAGCTATGAATAAATTCTGTCCAATTATTTCCCCTTGAAATAATAGTGTTAATTCTTTCAGTGAGTCTAGATCATGTTAGTTCTAGGTGATAATTCAACCATATTCTGGGATCAGCTTTGTTCATTTTAAGTCATAAGATATGGCATGCAAATGCATGGAGACAGAAGAAGGCAGAATAAGACGAGGAAATAACAATTAGCCTAGTTTGGCTGGAATGCAGAATGTGTGAAAAGAAGTAGCATGAAAAAGTTAATAAGATTATTGGAGTCAAATTGTGGAGGATCTGAAATACCAGTATAAGAAGCTTTGGTTTTACCTTATAGGCAATTGGGGCCAGTGAAGGCTTTTAAGCAGAAAGATGGAACGATCAGATGTATAGATTAACAGCTTGTATCTATTTAGCACTTTCTAGTTTTCAAATCACTTCTCAAAAATACTATATAGATAAGTATATTAGAAAGGAGAGGCAGCTTGGTCTAGTAATGAATAGAGAGCTGGCCTTAAAGCTAGAAAGCCTGGGTTCAAGATCTACTGACGTATGAGCTGTGTAACCCTGGACAAGTCACCTAAATTACAATGCTCTAGGCAGCTCTCCAAGGATATAAATTGCAAAGAAGATGCTGACTTCCTCACTAGGGAGTTCCCTATTCCTATATTAGGAGGATTATTTTGCCATGAAGCAGTAGAGAGTGAAGTAACTGCAGGCATAGAGACCAGGTAGAAGGCTGTTGAAGTAATCCAGGCAAGAGCTAGTGAGGCACGACCTAGATAGTGACAATGTGAGTGGAGAGAGGCAGAGAGGTTTGACAGATTGTGAAAGTATAACCAATAAGATTTGACAACTGATGGGTTGGGGGTGATGCAGGAAAGGGAAGAGTCAAAAATGGTGGTTTTCTTTTGGACTAGGATGACAAAGAGATGTTAGTACTACCAGTATAAATACAGAAGTTGAAAGAAAGGGTAAAAAGACTTGTGGGAGAAGATGAGTTCAGCATTGGCTATCCAACTCTCATGTGCTTGGACCGCCAAAGGCACATTGACATTCCTTTGGTATTTCAAACACGTGATTTTGTGAAATGACTGCCATTCCCCATGCTAATATGATTAGCAGGCAACTGGAGATTTGGGACTAGATCACAGAAGAGAAATGGAAGCTAGATCTATAATTGGCGTAGTCATTTGTAGAAGTGATCACTGAACCCATAGGGATTGGCAGAAAAAGTGATTTGAATCCTGCAAAGTTACTAGAGCCCCCTTTTTTCCCCTTGTCATTGGCTAAGTTTTATTAACTTGAAAAGTGAAACAGACAACATTGTTATCTTAAATGAGGTGATTATTTAATATTTCTCCATTTGAAAATGCCTGGAAAACTGTGAAAGTTGACAAACACCCAATCAAGTGTCTTTAATTACATAGCATAATTGCTTGTTTCTTATCAAATATTTAATTCAGTTGAATTGACTTTCTCTTTCTAAAAAAGTAAAAATTGATTTTCTAGTAAATGGTACTTGGGTATCATAACATGATATAACAAGATATATCATTTGTGTTTTGCTGAAATGACAAAACTTCTAGGCTAATTAAATATCCTCTTCAAGGTATTAGCCCTAAATAACTTGAACTCTTAGTTCAATAGTGAAGGAAATTCACTGGTTTTGCTCTTTTTACTTGGCATAGCCTTTTCCAGGTGAATTTAATACTGATAGGAGTTTAGATTACTAGCTGTGGAAAACTTGAAACATATCCATAAAGTGGGTTACTATATAGACAAGAGCAGGATATGTTTCATGAATGTCTTCCCTATACATTGGCTCTCAACTTGTCCTGGCTCTGTGTTTTTACTTTGAGAACTCAGACACACAAAAAAAAAAAATGCAAAGGAAAAACATATATGTAACTGGAAGTAATTTAGGCTATTAGACTCTGTTTCAAAAATGAATTGAGGCTCTATTCCAGTTGAATTTATTCCAGTTGTTTAGCTTACAAGGGGGAAAAAAAAGCTGCTACAAAAATATCCAATATAATTTTCAGCAACAGCAAAAATCCACAGTGGTGGTGAGGCAGGAAGCATATATTAGATGCAAAATGTCTATGAAACAGAACAACCATATTTGAATGCCCAAGGTTCTTTGAAGGGTTTCCATTTGATTCCAAGTTAAAAAAAATAGCTATTTTTCAAGCATTTGGCATTTTTCCAATCTAAGTACTTCACATGGTATGTTAGCAGCAGCATATTGCACAAGATGGTCTTCATGACAAAGCCTCAGTTTTTCTTCTCTTTGACATGAAAGGTTTTGAGGATATTTTTTCTTTCCGAGTAGAGGTGATCATAGGTAAAATACATACCTGATTTTGGGGGAGAAATAGCAAAGGCAAGGAAAATTGAGTATCCATTCATATTGTCTTGAAAGAGTTCTAAAAGACCGCATGGGTGCCTTGGTGATATTATCCTGCTATTACTATGATGCTAACCTACAACAGAAATTTTCCCAAGTCTTTCTGCAAGTGGGGAAATCCCCCCTTCCCAGCTTCTAGTGATACAATCTGAATGGGCTAAGCATTTCTTTACCTCCCCTATTTGGGATAGCTTCCTCCCCCTACTAAAATATAACATTTATCTGTTCTCCATAGGAATAATATTCTCATCTCTGATATGGTGAGTATACTTGGGCTTCTAAGATCATCAAAATAACATTTTGTGGGATTGCACAGGCAGCTGAAGTTGAGAACTGCTTTGCCAGTACAGGAATTTATTTACCTTGGTTTCCCAGCCAGAGCAATCAAACTTTTCATGCTATTTGGTGAAGCATTGGAATAGATATCATTATCCTGCTCTCTCCCTCAAAGAACATTCTCCTCCCACCTTGACCAAATTGCCCAGAAATTAAATTTTTTTTTAAACTTCTCTACCACCAAAAACCCAACCTCTCAGCAAAACATAGATGAAAAACTGAGGAAAAACTTACCTACAAAAAGCACCACGAGGTATATTTTTAAAACATATGGAAAATATATTGATAAGTCAAAGGGCAGTTTGGTGGAGTAAGTGCCAAAGGTTTCGAAATAAGGCAGTGATTGGTAGCTGACAAATGCTGTTAATGTAGAAAAGAAGTCATGTTAAAGTACCTGTGCTTGACGTGTTTCCATAGTATGGTATGAGACTACAAAGAAAAAGGGTTTTTAGAAAATTTCATTAAAGCAGGCTAGTGCTTTGGCAAATCAGTCACTGGTTTATCAACTCTATCATGGTTGTTAAAAAGTTAGTATATTGGTGCAGCGAGGTGGCGCAGTGGATAAAACACCGGCCCTGAAGTTGGGAGCACCTGAGTTCAAATCTGGCCTCAGACACATAACACTCACTACCTGTGTGACTCTGGGCAAGTCACTTAACCCCAATTGTCTCACCAAAAAAAAAAAAAGAAAAGAAAAGAAAAGTAGCATATTGTGCTGTATTGTTTCATATGTCTGCTGCTCTATTTTGTCTGTAGAAAAAACCTAAATTAATTGATAATGATAACCAGCATTTACGTAAAACTTACTGTGTGCCAGCCACTGTGCAAAGCACTTTACAACTATTATCACATTTGATCCTCACAATAAACCCCGGATGGTAGGTGCTATTATTAGCCCCATTTTACAGATGGGGAAACCAGGGCAAGCAAATTAAGATCTTGCGCAGGGTCAAATCTAGTAAGTTTTTGAGGTTAGATTTGAACTCAGGTCTTCCTGACTCTAGGCTTGGTGAGAAGAGAGGGAGAGCCTTCTCTCAGATTCAGCACATCTTCTGCTGCCCTCCTACTCCCTCAGATACTTAACTACAGCTGTCACATTGCAAATTTTGGATGCTATACCTTAGTTTTCAAGCTGATAAGATATGCATTATTTCAAATACTTTCTAAGATTTAAGAAGCAACCTCCCACTATGATTACTGTTGCATAAAAGCAATCCTGGGTTCTCAATGCCAACTAAGTGCAGGATCTACACTAGGTTAGGCACAGGATGATAAATTTTTCAGTGACAGCTAATTGAAATCCACCAAGTTGGTAATAGAGTACTATTGGTAAGGGTGTGCAAATATTGAAGTAGTAGTAGCAGTAGTAGCAGTAGTAGTAGCAGCAGTAGTAGCAGCAGCAGTAGTAGTAGTAGTAGTAGTAGTAGTAGTAGTAGTAGTAGTAGTAGTAGTAGTAGTAGTAGTAAGGATTTTTTAGTTCACAAAGAACTTTACATTTGCAGCAAGTTTGTGGCACCCCACCTCCAGCCTTCATAGCAATGCTGTGGATGAGGTTTTGGTACTTAATTACAAAAGCAACATCTCTCAAATGCTCTTGGGAACAAACACTTCACTTTGCTATTTGACTGATTACCGTATTAATTCTTTCATACTGGATTTAGAGGCAATCAAGGGATATATTTTATATTACCTAATCAATTACCACAAATTAAGAAAGTGAGAGCATGGTATAGTGGATGGGGAGCTTTACCTGGAGTCAAGAAAACCTAGGTTCAAATCTGCTCCAGCCACTCACTATCTGGGTAGTGCTGGGCACATCATTTAACTTGTCTGTGCCTCAGCTTCCTCACCTAGAAAATGGTGAGGAGCTTAATAGACTTAAATTTGATAGCCTCCATTTTCTAGCTCTAAAGCCATAGTTTATGAACTATCTCAATAATTTAGCTCTGACTTTATAAAAACAACAACATAAAATCTATCCTCGTAAGCCTCTCCTCTTTCAGTAAAGATACGTAAGATAACACCCTTTTCATATGTGAACAGTGTGGTTGCTGAAAGGGTCAGAAAAAGAACATGTGTATACAGAACTCTGATAGAATCTATTTGTGAAGAAACTCATGTCTCTCAGATAAAATGCTGAGGAAAGACATGCACTATTCAGAGGACCAGATAGAGATTTATGTACTAAGAGGACTTATTTGAAAGCAGATAAATGACTGGATTAATGAAGGCTGTAGAACATTATGGTCCATCAGCTCATTTGCAGGTGATGGTTTTTTGAATCTTGAAGTTTATAACTGACAGAATCAGAATTTAAATAATTGGGTATGATGGGAAGATTATGAAGGATTATTAATCATACCCAACAGATAGATGTTTTGAGTATTGCCTAATAAGGTAAATATGAATCATCTACCAAGAGGCTCTGATTTGAGCAATTGTAGTCAGTTAAGAAGCCTGCTTTAGAGCATGAGAGTGGAGACTGAGGCCACACATGGGCTATATATATGTACGTGTATGTGTACATATATATTTTGCCCCTCTGGAGTATTGGTGTAGTTTTCAGTTTTGTGTGTGCACACACATGCGCTCGTGTCCACAACAGCAAATTAACTACAAGATTACAGTCACCTCTAACCATTCTCTTGAATTGTTGACACTGAAATCACTGTCCAACAATTCAGGTCTATCTAGATGGCTGTCAAAATGTCTCCAGAATTCTCCTGAGGGTTTCTGCTCCACAGAATAAGAGTTCAACTCAGTTCTCACTCAGTTTCTAACAGACTCCCTCAAGGATGATCCAACCCACCGAGTCACTCACAAACTCTCTATGACAGTTAAGTGGAGTGTCTCTAAGTTTCCTCAGGAAAACAATTCTCTTAGTCATCAGTCTCTTTCACAGACTCCCTTAGCCATGACAATTAAACTCTCTCAAGAAGTCAATTAAATTGTCAGTCTTCAGGATTCTATTCTTTCTCTCTTAAAGCTACAGTAACCCTGAAGTCTGTGGGAGAGGCTTTCTAGAGAAGTGTCATGATAATCCTGTAAGAGCGTTTTTATCAGACTTATTATTTTCATTTCATAGATTAGAAAAATAAGGAGTTAAGTAATTTGCCCAAGATGACATGACTAGTAAGGGACAGAGATCAAATTTAAGTCCAGGTCTTTCTGACTGAGACTAGCACTCTATCCATTATACAATTTAGATACAGAATCTAAAAGTAGATATCCTTGATATATTAATATATTCAAATGTGCAAAAAGCATAATATCCAGTATTTCTATGTAACACCTCTAGTCTTTAGATTTTTACAAATGGAGTTAATTTGGCTGTTTATTTGAAAGTGGGCATAAATATAGTTGAGAATTATAAAAACCTATGGTTTTGCTTACTGGAAAGCACTTTGTTTCTAGTAGTACCAAGGAATCTGGGTAAGATTAAAACAAGATAAGGAATGTGCCAGGACAGAAATGTTTTCAAAATATTATCTAATTCTCTAAAAAATTAATTAAATTATGATAACTAGACTACATTAAGAAAAATATTGATAAAATGAACCACTGTTTCCTTACCTTCAGCAAGAACACAGAGAGGGTAAATGAACATCCAGAGCGTTTGACTGAGCCATGTCAAAATGTGGTAGTAAATTCTCACCACAGATAACATGCTATATGTGTATCTGAAAGGAAAAAGTATGGCCATAACATGTTTTGGTTTGCTATTTGGGGGGAAAAGGGATAAGGAAACATTTTACTACTTTGTTAAATCTACACATATGATTGGAATATGCTGCTTTATTTTCTATTAACTTTAGCTTCCTGGTGATACACTACATTAAGAAGTTTTATCAATTTTGCTCAGCTAATGTTCACTATGTTACATATAAACATCATTGAAATTAAGAGATAAAATCTATTTGCTTTGCTGTAAGCATGTTCACACACCACCACCACCACCACCCCCTCCGCAATGTCCTTTTTTTGACTAGGATGGAAATGCTTATTTTGAAATAATCAATAATAAGAAAAAGATAGAATATAAATGTTTTTTCTCAACTTACATTCATGTTCTATTGACTAAAAACCATAACTTTGAAACAGCACTTAGACTCCCAGACAAGACTGCTGCCTAAAGAAGAGACAATATCCTCACATCAACTCCAGCAAAACCCTGAAATTTATATCAGATTGAATAATGGTCAAGAAGTTTAATGAGAAACTATAGTAAATTACTTCCAACCCAAACTGTATAAAAAGTCAGCCCAAAGACCACTAGGAAAGGGGCACCTCCAGCTAAATGAGCACCTGTGTAACCAAAGATGGGATGCATGCAGCCTCCAAGACTATATCTAGAGGTAGTAAGAGAGCAAAGGGCTCCCCTGAGAAAGTCCTAGGCTGTTTATAAATCCCCAAGGTGGGGTTCTTGGAAGCTCAGGAGAGTAGCAGCAGAAAGAGACTAGTGCAGTGCCACCCAGAAAGATGCCATAGTTTGCAGACTGAGACAGCCCTGGCCCAGAGTATCTGAGGTCCCTAACACTCAATTTGAGATGCCAAAGAGGGGAACAGAAGAGCCAGCACTTGGAATCCCAACTATACAGGAGGGAGTTTAGTACAAGGACCCTGGGAATCTGTGGTGAGACCATGATAGGGCTGACCCCCGCTCCCAAAAGTCCAGCATGGGGCACAAAATCCTAATTCAAGAATTAAAGCTGGAGTGATGAATAAACCAAAGAAAACACCAACCAGTATTAAAAAACAATGATTGCATCTCTTGCTCCATAAAAATTGGGAGCAAAGACTCAAAGGAAAATGATTTCCACAGTAATTGCATTAATATCTTTAAGAAAGGAAGCAAGAGGTAAAAAAATAAATAAATAAAAGCTCAAGGAAAGAATTGGAAGGAAAATAAATGCTGAGAAAGACAAAGGAGGTAAACCTCATCTTAGAAATGGAATTCCTGAAAACTAGAATCAACCAAACAGAAACCAATGGCTTCACAAAACAGCAAGAATAATAGAACAAAAACAAAAGAGAAGAAGAGAAAGTAGAAGGAGGAGTAGGGTATAAAAAAACAACTGATCTGGAAAACAGGTCAAGATATAACATAAGAATCATTGGACTCCCTACAAACCATGATTAAAACAAAAAGGCTGGGTTGTGTATTTCATGAACTCACAAATGAAAACTGCTAAGATCTACTAGAAGTATACAATAGAAAGAATCCACCAAATTATCTCCTGAAAATATCCCCAAAATGATAAGTCCCAGGCATGTCAGGAAGTTCTGAATCTTAGAACTTCCAAGTCAAAGAAAAAAATACTACAAACATCCAGAAATGATTTGTGTACCAAACTACTAGTCAGGATTACACAAGACTTGTCAGCTTCTACTAAAAACCAAAGGAGATCTTAGAATACGTGAAAGATGTAGGTTTACAACTAGGAATAACTAACTCTGCAAAACTGAATATCCTAGGATGGGGGTGGGGGTGGGGTTGAGGGGAAGAGAAATGGATTTTTAATGGAATAGAAACCCTTCAAGCATTTCTGATGAAAAGACCAGAGCTTAGTAGGATCTTTGAAATACAAACACAAGAGTCCTAAGAAACCTAGAAAGATAAATTTATTTGAGGAATTGGAAGGAGCTGTATGATGGGGTAGTCCTATCATTCTAAATGGGGGGGAAAACAAAACTACTGTACCTTCAGGACCTTAATGTCTTCCAATGGTATTGAGGGAGATAAATAAGAAAAACATAGGTCTTTGAGATGAGTTGGATCTATTCTGAGAGTTTGAAGAGAGGAAAAAGAAGATTAAAAAGAGGAATACACTAGTAATGTCTGATTGGGGGGAAGTAGCTATTTCTCATATTTGGAATACATGAAGAAAATACACAGACATGGAAGAAGTCTCTAATGTTTATAACAGCATGAATAAAATCAGATCCACATCTGAAATGTCATGAATGGCAATGACTAAACTACCACAATGTAGGTAATGCTACTATTTCTATTACTATCAAGCCTTTTCTCACTCTACATATCTCCAAATTTTCTTCAACATTCACACTTATGTAGGCAAAAGTCACATTATTGGGTAATAATTCAAAGAAAGATTCTATGAGACTGACCTCTTTTTGCATGCCACATAACTTTAGGAAATACCAATGAAAGAGACCTGGACTTGAAATCGTAAGACACAGATTCCAATCTACCAATTAATTGTCTGGTAGCAGTGGCCTCTGGCAAGGCATTTCACCTCTCTTAGCTTTGATTTTCTCCTCTATAAAATAAAAGAGTTTTTGTTGTTTTTTTTTGGGGGGGGGGTTGTTGCTGCTTTTTTTTTTCCATCGGGAACTGTGATTTCATTAGTTTAGGGAACTCCTAATATGGACCAGAGCAGCAGTCCTAGACAACTTGGTTGTAGCTTACAGCCCTTCTAGAATTCCACAGCCACTTAGAGGCAGGACAGGTATTCCTGACTGCTGCTGGCTCTCTGTTTATTATACCCTACTGTTTTGCCTGTGAAGACTAAATGAGATAAAATAATGCAAAGTAATATAACACTGAACCAGATGGATGAAATACATGTTAACAAGGATCATATGAAGAAAGTGAATATGAATGAATGGAAATAGAATCTCGATATGAAGGTAGAGAAAATGAAAGTATTATTGTATTTTATGCACTGAAATAAACTAATTTAAATATAGTTATTAAGTAAGTTACTTTTACTGGTCATGCCCACTAACTATAGGTATCTGACAAAGCACTGTACCGGGTCCTCTATTTTTCTCCCTTTATATGTACTTCATTTGTCAGCTTCCATGAATTTAATTATCTTCTCTATGCTGATGATTCTTAAATCTACCTATCTAGGACTAATCTTTCTGCTCACCTCTAGTCTCATATCTCCAACTGCCTTTAAGACATCTTGAATAGTATGTCAAGTAGACATTTAAAATCAACATATTCAGAAATGAACTTATTGTCTTTCCCTTAAACCCTTTCAAACTTTTCTATTACTACTGAGGGCACCACCATCCTCCCAGTCCCCCAGGCTTACAATCTAAGCATCATCCTCAACTCACTATCTCTCACCACCAAGCACCCATCCCCATGCTCCCATATCCAATGTTTGCCAAGGTCTGTTGATTTCTCCTTTGCAACATCTCTCAAAGACACCCTACCCAATACCATCACTCCTCTAGTGCAGGCTCTCATCACCTCATACTGGGGCTACTGCAATAGCCTACTGGTGGGTCTACCTGTCAAAAGTCTCTCCCCATTCCAATATATCCTCTATTCAGTTGCCAAAGTCTTTTTTTTTTTTTTTGGTGAGGCGATTGGGGTTAAGTGACTTGCCCAAAGTCACACAGCTGGTGAGTGTTTCACTCTAGCTGCCCCCAAAGTCATTTTTTTAAAGCACAGGTCTAACCATGTCACTCCCTACTCTATAAACTCCAGGGGCTCCCTGTGACCTCCAGGAATAAACACAAAATCTTCTGTTTGCCACTTGAAGCCCTTTATAATTTACTGCCCCAGCCCCTTCATCTCATCCTTCCCCAACCACTTTCCAATCTTCTTACACTTTATACCCACCCCACATACTCTTCAATCCAGTGACACTGGCCTCTTTGCTGTTCCATAAATAAAACATTCCATCTCTTGGCTCCAGGCATTTTCTCTGACTGCCCCTTATGCCTACAATGTTCTCTCTGCTCATCTCTGCCTCCTGACTTCCCTGGCTTCCTTTAAGTCCTAACTTCTACAGGAAGTCTTTCCCAACCCCTCTTCATTCTAGTGCCTTTTCTCTTTTGATTATTTCCAATTTATCCTGTATATATCTTGTTCGTAAATATTTGTTTATTGTCTCCCTGTTAGATTGTGAACCACTTAAGGGCAGGGACTATTTTTTGCCTCTCTTTGTATTCCCAGCACTTAGCATAGTGCCTGGTGCATATGTAATAAGCATAATAAATACTTATTAACTGACTTGCATTGATGTTTAATGTTGATTCTAGCAAAGGAGTTAATTTTTAAAAAATTATTGAGATAAATGTATGTAAGGTACATTACAAAACACTACAATCACAGAATCGAAGAGAAGAACAGAATCTTATAGTTGAAGGTAATAACAGAGGTCATTTAGTCTAACCTACATATGAAAATCTATAAAATCTCTGAAAAATTGTCATCTACTTTCCCCCTAAAGGCCTCCAGGGATAGGAAATTCACTACTCACTATTTTGTTTTTTGACAGTTCTGAAGGTTGGGAAGCTTTTTCTTTTATCCAGTCAAAATCAGATTCTATGCTATCTACCCATTGTTTCTGGTTCTGTCTTCTGGAGTCAACAACATAAGTCTAATTTATCTTCCATATGACAGCCATTCATACAGTTGGGACAGTTGACACCGTCCCCTCTTCCCTCCCACTTCTCTTGAAACATTTCCAGTTCTTTCACATCATGATATAGATTTTTCAGTTTCCCTCACCATTCTGATTTCATTTTTCTGCACTAACACAAATATGCTAGTTGACTCAGTGACTAACCCACTGCCCCACACTGAACATTACTCTACATGTGGACCCAATCTCCCTTGTTCTGGACAATGTGTTACCATTAATGCTCATTAATATTTCTGGTTGCCATATCATATTGCTGTCTCATGTTGAATTCTCGATAAGCTAAGACTCTGAGGTTTTTTCCATGTGAACTATATTTTAGCCACATTTCCTCAATCCTGTGCTTACATAGTTAATTTTTAAGTCCAAATATAGACATTTATATTTATCTTTGTTACCTTTCATCTTATTAAACTTAACCCATCATTCTGGATTGTTCAGATACTTTTGTGTCTTGATTGTATCATCCTTTAGAGTAATTATCTCTTCCAACATCATGTCATTCAAAAATTTGATAAGAATGCCTTCATTTAAGTAATTACAAATGTAAGCTATTATTGAACAAATGAACAAAAAACCATTCATTAAGTTCTTACTTAATGTTATTGTTATTCAGTCATTTCAGTCATATCCAACTCTTTGTGACCCCGTTTGAGGTTTTCTTGGCAAAGATACTAGAGTGGTTTGCCATTTCCTTCTCCAGCTCATCTTACAGATGAGGAACTGAGGCAACCAGCTTTAAGTAACTTGCCCAGGGTCACACAGCTAGTAAGTGCCTGAGGTCAGATTTGAACTCAGGAAGATGAATCTTCTTGACCTCAGGCCTGGCCCTCTATCCTCTTCACCCCCCAGCTGCTTACTATGTGTGCTAAACACAATGCTAAATATGAGGGATACAAAAATAAAAGGAGAATCCCTATTTTCAAGTAACTTACGTTCCAGTGGGGGAAACAAGACATGTAGAAGAGTGGTGGCCAGGAAGAAGCACTTTACAGAAACAGTGAGTTGGGCCATCAGGGAATATATTGATACATATCAGCGGGCCTTGATTTGATCATCGTTCTAAAACTGGAAAGATTGATGGAGAGGAAAGGGTACTTGCTTGGAGGCCACACCATTAGCAGTAGTGAGGGGGCTTTGTAGGGGGTGGCCAGAGAGGAAAGAGGGAAGTAAAGAATGACTGGAGCTTTCTGGAAATAGTGTTACAGGACACAGAGTCACTACCCAGGGAAACAAGAGATGAAAAATAGAAGCCAATATATTTAGATAGCTTTTCCTAAGAGTTTGGGTGAGAAAAGGGAGGAGCTATATATGATAATAACTTGTGGGGATAGTAGGATCTACTGAGGGGATATATTTTTAAAAATATGTAACACCTTTTACAATAATCAGATCATTTTAAGCCTGGGGACATTATAATAGCCATAAGGTCCATGTAGTTTCTTGCTCCATGTTTGCCCCAACCTCTCAAATCCAGGTGTTCAGAATCAATTCTTCCCATATTTTGAGAGTTTCTCCATTTTATATAAAGTGCTGAGGACATGACCCAATGTCTCACACAGTGGCTTTGATTGATATAAAAAAGTGCATGGGTACTGTTCCCTCAGTTCTTCTGATTTAAAATTTTTAATTTAAAAAATATGTGTGTACCAAGTCAAAGCATCAGAACCCAATAGGGTGGGCTTTGACTCTACTCTTACACTTGAATAGTGGAGACTTGGGCATGTTTGCAGGCAGCATGGAAGGAATCAGTAGATAGGGACAGACTGAAGATTAGAGAGGTAAAGCAATCTGCCAGAGAAGACAGGAGGGGGTGGAAACAAGGGTATGTGTAAAAGGGTTGACATACATGTTGATATATAGCTTTTAAGATTGCTTAAATAGTCAAAAGAGAATACTTTAGCTGACCACTCTTCTTCTTAAAGAAGAGCTTAAAAACTAGAGCAGATATAAAAATAAATGGAGTTGATAGGGCCCTGTGCCTAGAAAAGAAAGTGACTAGATTTTAATAAGTGGAATTCCAGAGAAGGAGATGAACAGTTGCAGGTTTGGTTGGTTGCGGAGACAATATTTTTGATCTCAAGAAGTGGAATAGATTTGAGATCTAGGAAGGGAAGGATCTGAGAAGAGCAGCAAAGGACATTGATAGACTGGATCAGATTCAGAAGAGGATAACAAGCATGGTGAGGGGGTTTAAAAGCACACTTTCTGAGGAACCAGTTGAAATAAGTAGGTATATTTAGCCCAGAGAAGACCGAGGATGGATGTGATTGTCAGCTTCTAGCATCTGAAGAGTTGCCACAGAAATGAGGGATCAGACCTGTCCTGCCTTGCCTCCGGAAGCAATAGCTGGAAGCTGCCTTCTAAATGAAGTTGGATATACGAGAAAACTTTGTAACTAGTGCTATTCAGAAGCGGGAGTGGGCCATCTCAAGAAATAATGGATTCCCTACTATTAGAATTCTTAAATGGAAGCTAGATTTGTCAGGGATTCAGCAGACAGGACTTCTGTGTAGATCTAGGTTGGACCAGATAGTCTTCTGAGGTCTCTTCTAACTAGGAAACTCAGTGATTTCATGACAGAGAAACCCTAAGTTCCAAAGGACTAGGTCAGATGACTTGGAACTAAAACAGCTTTTTAAGGTTTTTCAGCGCCTTATAAATGAGTTAAACTGATTCAGATGGATTTAATTAAGCAGACTGGTGTGGCATTTAAAAAGATTTCAGAGACATCATTTCTGGATAACTTAATCATTTTATTAATAATACCAGCATTTTAATAAAAAGATGGTCATTTGGCCATCTGTCTCTTAGACCAAAGACCTCTCATAGTGATGGGCTTACAGTTTATATGCCCTTGGAAGAGGAGGTGTTCCTGAGGGTGGCAATCAACTCTGATTGGTTAACAACTAATGAGAAAATGAATATTACAATGAGAGGCTGGGCTATATTAGGGTATTTTGCAATGAGGGTCTTGGGGTAAGTGACTTGGATCACCCAAATCTTGGTGAAAGAGACTTATCAATTTCCACATCGCTTGTCTGACAAAAGGGAGAATTGACACTTTCCCGGATCTTTCTGAGTAATACAACAAACAGGAATACACCCATTAATCTAAATTTAGAATTTCTTTTACTAGTGCTAATTACTTTAGAAAGTAGCTACATACCACTCCGAACTGAGTCACATAGAACTCCTTTATGCCACTGTTATTGGGACATCACCTTGTTATATCAGGTTATTTTATATGTGTGTATGTATGTATATATGTATATGTATTGTGTATATGTATACATATATATACATGTGTACATATGTGTGTATGTGTGTATGTATATTTAGAGGAATCTAAATGCCTAGGCTTGGAAGAAGAAATTATATTGTTCAAGGATTCTTCACTTTTTTGTGTCATAGTACCCCTTTGACAGTCTGATTATCTCTCTAGGCTGTGCTCCTAACTCTCCTGGACTTTCTCTACTATGCTAAAGAAACTTCTTCCCCCTGGAAGTTCCCTCTACCCTGGACTTCATACACACTACCCCTGTGGCCTCTCTGTATAATTGGCAGCTTCCTCCCAGAACCTCCATTTTGAAGATGATGACCAGGATGCCATGTCTACTTCCCTCTCCAGGATGCATTCTTGACTATCCAGGTTTTCACTTCCATCTCTTCCCCACCATCTTTTCTTTTATGTGGTGTCATCCCCCATTAGAATGTAAGCTCCTTGAGGACAAGAACTATCTTTCTTTCTCCTTCTATTTGTATTCCCAACTCTTAACACAATGCCTGGCATATAATAAGCACTTACTAAATGCTTGTTGACTTGACTCAGCAAAATAGAGCACGGTAGGATTATAAAGGCGATCAATTGTATTGAAGTGCAGTTAACAAAATACTTTCTTCATGCAAGTTGATGGGCCCATTGTGAAATCTCATTTTACAAATGAGGTAGCAGAGCCTCAGAGAAGCTGTATCTTTCCTCAGGATGACATAGTGAATGAATGGTAAGCTCAAGAATTTAGCTTCAACTTTTTTAGTTCAGTTTTCTTTCCCCAAATACTTGTAATAAATCCATGCTATGAGAAGGCTCTTTTGTACTGGGAAGATGAGACACTATATTTGCAATATTTTTAAACTAATAGAAAGCTGGTTTTAAATTTCTGTATGAAACATATAATGAAAGGCCATGATTTGTTTATTGAAGCCGAATGCACCAGAGCATTAGTGAGGAATGCCTTTCATTAGGAAACAGCTGTGAGTTTTTTTTTTTCCAAATTGGTGTCATGCCAAGTCTTTTGCTCTGGAAAATTGAATGCAGTGATTTGCTTTTATAATATCTTGAGAGGTTTTAATTATCTCTGATATGCCCATTATAGAAAGCACTAAAAATACATTTTCATATCAAGATAAAATAATTCACATAAGGGTTACGTTTTTCTGTCCTTTTCAAAATAAACCAAACATAAGCATGTATAACTGCTTTTCCCATATGAAGCAACTTGGCTTTGGTTTTCAAGATCATTCTGACTTCTTACCTAACCACGTCCAATAGATTCCAGAGGAAGAATAAAACACACACGACATATTTTCCTTGGACTTCATCTTGACTGGTGATCACCACAAAAAGTATTATTATTCTCTCAGTTAGCTGTAAGAGAAACAATAAGACGGACTTAGGACTTTGAGGTGATTATTCTGCCAAGTTACGTATAAGATTTTCTCATTTTCACTCCCAGAGTTTCAACTCTCTTTTTGAAATCATAATTATAAAATAAAGAAAACAATGAAAATAATACATAATGACAACGATGTAAATTGTAAGAACAATAACAATAAGAAACAGCACTATCTAGTCATAATGATCAAGCTTTGTCCCTAAAAGGCAATAAGAAAAATGCACTTTCCTCCTTTCTGTACAGAGATGGGGGGCGGGGTTTACAGGTGTGTAACATTGTATGTACTGTCAGATAATGGGTGTGGTGACTAGTTTTGCGCAACTCTGTGTGTGCATGTGCATATGTTCCCTCTTTATTATTTCTTTTTACAAGGGAATACTCTCTGGTCAGGAGAGGGGAAAGGTTTATATTTAAAAATATAAGTGATATAAAAACAAAAAGATAACAAAGAAAAAAATTTAACTCTATACTTTATGTGAATTAGAGTGCTTCCTCTACTGTCCTCTTCAATAAGCCAGCTGACGAAGTGTATAGTGCTGAGACTGGAGTTAGGAAGACCCATATTCAAATCTAACTTAATAACTCTGTGACTGTGGGCAAGTCACTTAACCTCTTTCTGCCTAAGTGTCCTCAACTGCAAAATGAGAATAATAGTACTTATATTTCAGGAAGATTAAATGACATAATATGTGTAAAATGCTTAACATGGTGTCTGGCACAGAGTAGTTACTTAATAAATATTTGTTTTCTTCCTCTTAATCACACCCCTGCTTACCTTTTGTTTCTTCAATCCCAATATTCTCTACATCACTGTGATCAATTTTATATTCAATATTATAGTGATGGCAGGCATTTTCTATGAATCCAAGGATCTTACCCATGATTCCATTATAATTATTATTATTTATTGTAAGCCTATATCCACACACTACCTAATGACCTACCTAATTTATACACTGGGAATATATGTGTAAGGCACTATTACTATGGCACCTTACTGTATGCCAGGCAGTGTGCTAAGTGCTGGAAATACAAACATAAGCAGAAAGAAAGACAGTTCCTGCCCTCAAGGAGCTTACATTCTAATGGAAGGAAGTTGTTGTTCAGTTATGTCTGACTCTTCATGACCCCATTTGGGGTTTTCTTGGCAAAGATACTAAAGTGGTTTGACATTTCCTTCTTTAGCTCATTTTACAGATGAGGAAACTGAAGCAAACATTAAGTGATTTGCCAAGGGTCTCACAGCTAGTAAGTGTCTGAGGCCAGATTTGACTTCAGGTCTTCCAGATTCCAGGCCCTGTGTTCTGGAAGAACACAATTAAAGGAGAAATGAAAAGGGCAATTTGGGTAAGAGAACATCCAAGACTTGGGGCAGGATGAAGAAAGTCCTATGCAGATGAGTCATCAGGACAGCCTGAAGAAAAATGAAACCTGGTTGGCCTGGTTGTCCTCCTTAGAATGGAAGTTCTGGGAGGAACCGGCCAGGGAGAGACCTCCAATGTGAGAAGTTGTCTAGGGGTAGAGTGAGCTTTCAGAGTGAAGAAGTTTCTATGGCACAGTAAGTAAGGTCCTCTGGAGAGAAGTCAGCAGTATGGCCTGGGGAAGGTCACCCAGCTACTAAAAGTCTATAGGTGGAATTTGAACCCAGTCTTCTTGGTTTTATCTACTAAAATACCATCTATAATTGTTTGTATGTTTTCAACTAATCTTGCTATTCCAACGTATGTGATAACTCAGCACAATTATACTATCCATTTTCCCACCATAACTTTAAGAAATATGTCTGACAAGTTATCTTGATGTAATTAAACAAAACAAAGCTTAGCTTTCAACGCTTTGTTTCTAGGAAAAACAGGAATCAAAATTTCATTAAAGAATTCAATATGCTTACAAATCTACTTCCAAAAAGCTTTGTGCTCCCCTTTATACCACATTCTAGAGAGGTCAAATAAATTAAAGTACAGAGTCTATACCCTGGAAACATTGGATTTCACTCTTCCCATACTAATGTTTCCATTTGTATCAACTATTATAAAAAGCCTACTCGCAGGCATAATACTAACTGCATTCATTAACTACCATCTGATGGCCTGAATAGGATCCAAAATTAATTCAGTAGCCTTGATCCCCTTTCTTGCAAAAAAAAATACACACACACACACACACACACACACACACCACAAGCCATCTATATTACTACTACTTGCCTTTATTAATAATGCATGACTCACCAACCAGTGAACCTTTATCCAAGCCCCAAACTTGTCACCTTCAACTAACATAATTTATCAGTCCTCACAGTGAATCTTGGACTTGCTCTATTTCACTTTTATGTTCAGAGGTAACCCAAGGCATTTTGCTCAAGAATGAGTTGTCTCACACGACAAAAGCTAACTCTAATTTCAATCTTAGATCAAATTACAGAATTCTCTTTTGTGTTCCTCAGACACCCTTATTAAGCTGTCTTTCTAAACTGGTGGGTTATGTTCCCCCAACTTCTTAGTTAACATTGAAACACCATAGACAATTGGCTTTAATTTATGAGAATCTCCCCAACCCTTTTTCAGAAACTGAGAAATCTTGGTAGTGGTCCAACTGTTCTTCAAGCCTACATTCATATAAAAACTAATCTCATTATGAGAGTATATATATATAATATATTCTTAAATAGATATATATTATATCTAATTATATATTATATCTAATTATATATAATATCTAATTATATATTATATCTATTACATATTATATATAATTATATATTATATATAATTATATATTATATCTATTATATATATAATTATATATATTATAATTCTCATTAATAAAAACTATTGGTGGTTACGGTTAAAAAAAGAAAAATGATCCTTCAAACCTTGACTTCACAGTTTAATGTTTATTGCTCAGTCATTCTACCTATGTTCAGTAACTAATGATTATTTTCAACCAACCATGCAGACACTGGCACCCTCTACTTACTTTTTGGTACATGAACAAGAATAGGCCACACTGCCCTCGCCTCAATAATCTTGCATCTTTACTTGGAGATGGTTGGCACTAATATAATAGTACTAGATTAGTAATTTTTTTCTTTACTGCAAAACAAATCAGGTTTAGAGGTTTTGGAAACTTAGTTGATATTACTAATGACTAGTCCTTGATATAGCATTCCCTCAGATAAATTATATAAGTTTTGGACTACTTCTCCCATCCTCATTGACTGAAGAGGCCAGTGCTGGTACTAGATGAATAGACTATTATTTATTATAATTATTTGAATTTTTATTATTATGAACCTGACAAACATCTACCAACATGAATGTTTTCCTATCCAAAGAAGAAAAGAAAAAAAGGATTGGCCATGGACTTGGTTTCATACATAGAAGCTTTTGATTCTGTAGACTAGTCAAATCAGGCAGTCCATTGGGAATGATCTTCTGTAGACTCAAGGGATTGAAGAACTTCCCATAAACATCCTAGTTTGTTAAAAGCATATGTTCAGGGAACTGCTTAGGGGTTTCATTCCTCATGTAATACCTCCATTTGTCCAGAAACTTGCAATCTAGGGACAATAATGGTGATATATATATGTCACTTAATGGATTTTCCCTAGAAGTTGGAACTTGCTTAGGCTATTCCCCATCTCAGTTCTATGCAAAAGGCTTATTCAGGGTATCTGCTCTCTCTCCCAGCCGCCTTTTAAGTAAGGTTCTGCTAAGGAGAGCCGAGGTCCCAAAAAACAGCTCATAAACCCAAAGACACAATAGGAAAGGCAGACAAACAGCTGCTAAAGGTACACTAATCTGCAATGTTCATCATCTGAGACTTCAAACCTCCTGCTGAGATGGCTTACACAGAAGACAGCTAGATGCTCCTTGGGCTGACAATTTGGGAAATCCCAAGTCCTTTAAGATTGTCATAGACATGCACTAACATACAATAAGGACAATTGCACCAATCTGTAGCACACATTGTACCCAAGATTTTAACAGTTAGCCCAAAGGACTTATGAGTCAGGCAGCCAAGTGGCTCACAAGTGTCCTTAGTGTTGAGACTTGCAGACTTAGCTTCTGATGATGGGGGACATGTGTGAACTTGTGAGTTGACTTCATTCAGATACTTATGTGTTGTATCTATGGACATTTTCTTGTTATTACTGCCATATATTTATGGTGTATGGAAGTCTACTGTTGGTAGGCTCAACTACTGTTGCTAAGAAACTCCTTAAGGAATTGTTCATTACTGTTTAGATTACTATTCATTGAAGACAGTGATAGGAGCTGAGATATTTAAATTTTTCACTGCTACGTTGAGGTATTGGCAAGATGATCAAGTAAAAGTAAAAGATGGAGATAATGTAGCCAGTGGTGATGAGTGATTATTTAATGGGTTGATGGTGATGATGGTAATGATGGTTCTGCTAATTGACTTGTGATTCATGTGCATCTCAGGAGGTTGGCTGCTAAAGTTAAGAAGAAATGTGTAATGGAATGCAAGATTAGGCTCCATTTTTCTGAAGTATGAATCAATACTATACATACTACCCACAATCCAATGGAGATACTGAACACTAGAATTCTAAAATAAAAACACAAAATTTGTGCACAAATTAACCTCAAGTGATCTGATATTCTGCCTATGGCTTTCACACACATTAAAAACACTGTGAACAAGAAGCATGAACTTAAACTATATGAGATTCTCATCATCTGCCCTATGTAGTAAATCCTAGGCAGAATTCCATGTGTGCCACATTAAATAGATCTCCAGCTGATATATGAAACTGTGCTGAATTACTAAAAAGCATTAATGAAATGTGTTTAGTCTATTTGCCAACGGGTATCAAAAATCCTGCCCCAGCTGCTTCATTCCCTGTCACAGTCTTTGGCTGGGAGACTGGATCTGCATGAAAGCCCATCAATGAAAGAAAGTACTTCAACCTCACTGGAAGGACCCATTCAGATCTTGTCGA